ATCCCCTCTCCTCTTTTTGAAGTAGCCATGAAGTGTGCCAATTAAAGAAATGAGAATTTGAAAGGTAAAACATGCCATGATCTAAATTATCATCTTAGACCAATTAGTATAGCTCTTAGGAAATCCTAATTTATAGTATCAAAAGCTTTTTTAGTATCAATGTTCAACATCACTCTATGTGAAATACTTTTCCTACCATAATGCTTGAGAAGGTCATGAGCCAAGAGTATATTGTTAGAAATTAAGCTCCCTTGAACAAAAGCACTTTGTGATTCATGAATCAGATATCCCATAAAAGGCTGAATTTTAGCTATCAGGACTCTTGATATAATCTTTTAAAGAGAGTTATAGCATGCAATTGGCCTGAAACCAACAACATTTTATGGCAATAGGCTTTTGTAATAAGTGTTAAAGTAGTATAATTTACCATAGTTAGCAGCTTCCCGATTCTGAAGAACTCCTCAACAGTTTGTGAGACTTCATCACCAACAATGAACCATGCAGTCTTGAAGAAAGATGCACTATTTTCATCAGGACCTATGTCCTTTTCATTATCCATAGAAAAAATAGCTCTTGTTATTTCCTCTCTAGTTATCGGATCAGTTATGTTGTGTGAGCGCGAGACACCTCAAGGTGTCTCGGCACGCGAGACACCCTGAGGTGTCTCGGCACGCGAGACACCCTGAGGTGGCTCCGGGTCTCGGCACGCGAGACACCCTGAGGTGTCTCGGCACGCGAGACACCCTGAGGTGTCTCGGCACCTGAGACACCTCGAGGTGTCTCAGGCGCAACCGAAATGGGCGGTTTATTTTTGTTTTGCTTTCCTTGATATAAATAGGAACTTCATTCGTAGGGTTTTTTCAGAGTAGAGGGGCTGTCATCAACGAAAAAGAGAGAGTTTTTCAGATTTGAAAAAGATGAGATCTTGAGGAGAGAAAAGAGAGAGTGCTTGGAGAGATTGTACAACAAAGAGGTCATCTTCTCTTGGGTAAAATCAAACTCTCATCTTTGGGACGAGCTTGTGATCTGTGTAACTTATCGGTGATCTCCATCATAGTGAAATCTCCCTTCTCCCCCCTTCTCCGTGGACGTAGGCAAGTTTGTCGAACCACATAAATCTTGTGTCTTCCTTATTGTTCTCTGTGTATTGGCTATGGCTTGTCGTTCCCTCGATATTGTGAGCATGAGACACCTCATGGTGTCTCGACGCGCAAGACAACCCAAGGTGTCTCGGCACCCAAGACACCTTAGGGTGTCTCGGGCGCGATCGGTGCGGGCAGGTTGTTTTTGTTTTGGACCTTGTTTCCTTGATATAAATAGAAACTTTATTCCTAGGGTTTTTTACATAGTAGAGGGGTTGTCATCAACGAAAAAGATAGAATTTTTTAGATCTTAAAAAGGTAAGATCTTGAGGAGATAAAAGAGAGAGTGCTTGGAGAGATTGTACAAGAAAGAGGTCATCTTCTGTTGGGTAAAATCGAAGCCTCATCTTTGGGACAAGCTTGTGGGTTGTGCAAGTCATCGGTGTTCTCTATCATAGTGGAATCTCTCTTCTCCCCCTTCCCTATGGATGTAGGCAAGTTTATCGAACCATGAAAATCTTGTGTCTTCTTTATTGTTCTTTGTGTATTGGCTATGGCTTGTTGTTCCCTTAATATTCAGACCTAGATTTGATATCGGGAAGAGTGTATATCTCACCTTGCTGAGATATTCACTTATGTTCTTGTTTTATATCAAAACAGGAACATCGAGGTTGGCTTGAGTTTTGTGAAAAACAAAAGCCATGGTTTTCTCTCGAGGTGATTTGCTTTCGCGCCGAGTGGGTGCGTCAGCGCCTAACAATTAGTATCAGAACCCTTGTTCAGATTAGGGATGGTAAAGCTTTTGATTTGAGGTGGTGCTTGGTTATTGTGTGGTGTACATAATGCGTTTGTTGAAATTCCCGAGAGAAGCAGATTTACTAAAACAAGTAGAGAATGACGTCTACCCAGTAAAATAGTTAAAATTGGAAAGTATGTGAGTAAAAAGTTTAATAGGAAGAATGATTTTTCTTATTAGAGGATGCAGATAAAAAAAATTCGTAGATTTTGTAGAAATTACACAAGGCTTTGGTAGGAAGAGAAAAGAAGCACAAAAATATGTCTGATGAGGATTGGGAAGAGCTAGATCTCAAAGCAAGAGCATCGATTAACCTATGCCTTAAGAGGGATGTAGTTTTCTTGGTGGATGGAGAGGCAACGGCGGCGGGTGTGTGGTCAAAGTTAGAGAGTACATTCATAACAAAAAGTCTAACAAATCAGATCTACTTGAAATCCAAATTATATATTTACAAAATGAAGGAAGACTCATCAATCCGGGAGTACATCAACAAGTTCGATAGAATCATATCGGATTTGAAAGACATTGATATAAAAGTAGAAGATGAGGATCAAGCACTACTGCTACTTCTTTCTTTACCAAAGTCTTATGAGAAACTAGTACAAACATTGATGCTTGTAGGTTACAATTTGAAGATGGATGAGACTAGAATGCCGCTTCTAGTGAATGATTTTTAGAAAATTACAACTAGTGACATGGATACTAATGGTAACAAGGAGTAAGTACATGGATTGTTTTTAAGGAGAAGGAGCAATGAGCGAGGAAAAGGCAAGGGAGGAAAGTCTAGATCAAAATCAAGATCTATTGTAGGAAGACCGTATTTAAAATGCGATGAGCTTAGGTATTTCAAGGTTGACTGTCCTAATAAGAGAGTAGGTGGGAAGACAAAGAATAAGAAAAATGAGAGAAGAGAAGGCAAGGAAGAGGTAAGCTATGTCTCGGAGGAAGGGAGCGAAAAAGAATGTTATTCTGTTACGTGCGGTGAAGATATCTCTGGTAAGTGGATTCTTGATTCGGATTGCTCTTACCATATGTGTCCAAATAGGAAGTGGTTTACTTCTTATAGGAGCATTGATGGTGGAACCGTATTGAAGGGGAATAACCATGCTTGTAAAACGATGAGGCTTGGTGATATTAAAATCAAGATGCATGATGGAGTGGTCAGAATCCTAACGGATGTGAGGCATGTCCCAGACTTGCGGAAGAATCTTATCTCAGTTGGTGCTTTAGACTCTGGTGGTTGCAAAATAATAACAGAGAATGGAGTAAAGATTGTTGTTCGAGGTTTCTTGGTAGTGACGAAGGGCATTTATTATGGTTACCTATATACTCTTTCGGGTACGACAGTGGTAGGAGATGTAGCAGTAAAAACTGATGGAAGTGGTAGAGACTCATGTGAGTACACTCAGTTATAGCATAGGAGGCTTGGGAACATGTTAGAAAAGGAGTTAGATCTTCTTGGTAAGGAAGGTTTGCTGAAGAACATGAAGAAACCTTGCAAGGATTTATGCGAGGATTGTGTGTACGGAAAGGTGCATAGGGTTCAGTTCCTGAAAAGTAAGCACAAGAGCAGAGGTATATTAGACTATGTGCATACAGATGTTTGAGGTCCGGCTCCGTCAACTTCCAAGAGCAGTTTCCAAGTATTTTGTCTCGTTTATAGATGATTA